CCCCTCACCTGTTTGGTGGGTAGGACGACCCCCCTCACCTGTTTGGTGGGTAGGACGACCCCCCCTCACCTGTTTGGTGGGGTAGGACGACCCCCCTCACCTGTTTGGTGGGGTTGGACGACCCCCCTCACCTGTTTGGTGGGTAGGACGACCCCCCTCACCTGTTTGGTGGGGTTGAACGACCCCCCTCATCTGTTTGGTGGGGTAGGACGACCCCCCTCACCTGTTTGGTGGGGTAGGACGACCCCCCCCTCACCTGTTTGGTGGGGTAGGACGACCCCCCTCACCTGCTTGGTGGGTTGAACGACTCACAATAAAGACATAATCAGGGACATTACGATCTCAGACACAACATACTCAGATCACAAGCTCATTGAAGTGCAAACTTCCATCAATACTCAGAATAGACCTAAAACGTTGATCAAGCGAGACGGGTTATTCAGTAAATTTAATTTTAATAATAAAAGGACAAACTGGGATGCAATAAACAGGGAACTTAAACACATTCAATGGAAAACTGTTCCATGTAATAACAATCCTACATAAGGGATAGAAAAACTTACTTCTGAAGCATATGAAGTCTGTCTGAAACATGTTCCTTTGAAGAAAGCCAGAAAGAGGTCAAATGTAGAAAGAGAACGCAGAAGATTCTATAAAAGAAGGAAAAAAATAACGGAAACGCTTAAGCACACACGACTTTTCCTACAAAGGAGGAGTAATTTAAACAGGGAGATTGAAGAAATCGAGCAGAAACTGTAACACTGAAATTGAAGAAAGGCAACTAGAACAGAAAGCAATTCAAGAAATAAAGAAAACCCCCAAAATATTTCTTCACATTTGCGAAATCAAAAGTAAAAACCACTGCCAGTATTGGACCTATTAGAACGAGTGAAGGTTTATACACTGAGGATGACAAAGAAATTAGTGAAATCCTAAAAAAGCAGTATGAGGACATGTTTAGCATTCCAATAAACAACATGAAAGTGGAAGATCAGGACAACTTTGTGCGTGATATCCAAACACCTGTAAATATAACTGATATCAACACGAGCGTGGCAGAATTTGAAAGAGAAATTGAAAAAATGTCCATGCACTCGGCTCCGGGTCCAAATTCACGGAATTCAATATATATAAAGAAATGCAAAGTGCCAGTAGCACAGGCACTCAGTATAGTGTGGAGGAAGAGCTTGGACACGGGGGAGATACCAGATGCACTTAAAGCAGCAGACATTGCCCCTCTACACAAGGGAGGGAGCAAAGCATTGGCAAAGAATTATAGACCAGTTGCACTAACGTCCCACATAATAAAAGTGTTTGAGAGAGTGATCAGGAGTCAGGTCACAAGTTTCATGGAGACCAATGACCTCCACAACCCAGGCCAACATGGATTTAGAGCGGGAAGATCATGTCTCTCACAGCTACTGGACCACTACGACAACATCACTGAGGCATTAGAAGAAAAACAGAATGCAGATGTGGTATACACGGACTTCACAAAGGCATTCGATAAATGTGACCATGGAGTGATAGCACACAAAATGAGGTCAATGGGAATAACTGGTAAAGTAGGACGCTGGATACTCAGTTTCCTGTCGAACAGAACACAACGAATAACAGTCAACAATATAGAATCTAGTCCAAGAGCAGTTGAAAGCTCTGTACCTAAGGCTTCAGTCTTTGCACCATTGCTTTTTCTTAATTTCATATTAGATATAGATAAAAATGCAAGTCACAGCTTTCTATCATCCTTTGCAGATGACACAAAAATCAGCATGAAAATTATCTCTGCTGAAGACATTGAAAACTTCAAGCAGATATTAATAAAGTTTTCGACAGGGCAACAGAAAATAACATGATGTTTAACAGTGATAAATTCCAGGTACTCAGGTACGGTAAAAATGAGGACCTTAAACATAATACAGAGTACAAAACACAATCAAATCTGCCCATAGTAGGAAAACAGCATGTAAAGGATTTGGGAATAATGATGTCCGACGACCTAACGTTTAGGGAGCATAACCAAGCAAATATTGCGTCAGCCAGAAAAATGATAGGATGCATTACGAGAATTTTCAAATCCAGAGATCCCATCACAATGGTTGTACTCTTCAAGTCACTTGTGTTGTCCCGTCTTGAGTACTGCTCAGTACTCACTTCCCCCTTCAGAGCAAGAGAGATTGTTGAAATAGAGGGAATACAGAGAACATATACGGCATACATAGACGCGATAAAGCACCTAAATTATTGGGATCATCTCAAAGCTCTCCAAATGTACTCTCTAGAAAGGAGACGAGAGATATCAAATAATATATACGTGGAAAATACTGGAGGGCCAGGTCCCAAATCTACACAGTAAAATAACAACATACTGGAGTGAACGATATGGAAGAAAATGCAGAATAGAACCAGTGAAGAGCAGAGGTGCCATAGGCACAATCAGAGAACACTGTATGAACATCAGAGGTCCGCGGTTGTTCAACACCCTCCCAGCTAGTATAAGAAATATTGCCGGAACAACCGTGGACATCTTCAAGAGAAAACTTGATAATTTTCTCCAAGGAGTGCCGGACCAACCGGGCTGTGGTGGGTATGTGGGCCTGCGGGCCGCTCCAAGCAACAGCCTAGTGGACCAAACTCTCACAAGTCAAGCCTGGCCTCGGGCCGGGCTTGGGGAGTAGAAGAACTCCCAGAACCCCATCAACCAGGTACCGCCGCCTCACCTGTTTGGTGGGTAGAACAACCTCTCATCCTGACGCTATGTTCGTCCAAGCTGCCTCCGTCCTCAAAGATGCATTCAACAATTCCATCGTAGTTTTTAATACAAAAAAATATTTTCTGAAATTACATTATCATATGTTCTAATAATTTAGGCCTAGGTTGTGTGTGTTGGTTCTCGGCAAGTGTTTATATTTGCGAAATTTGGTGAGTGTTTTAGAGGCTTCTTATTTGAACATAATTTCAGGAACAGCGAAGCACAGTTACAGAAATTATTGAACGTTATCAGCTGCTAAGTAATTTTTTTTTGTCGTTAATAAAACGTGGGCCAACGGATGGATCAACGAGCATTTAGTCAGTGTATTAAGCTGGTCTGTAATATTCATATCTATGGGTTGTAAACAATTTGTTTTAATGGAGTGTATGTCAGCTTTGCTCCAGACAATAGGTGTTGGGATTGAGTACTACAGATGTTGGAGGTAGCATGTTTGGAGCAGATGCTCTTTTGTTTATGATCTTGTTAATAATATTTCATGTACCTGATAATGTTTACAGTCTCCGTGGTGTAGTGGTAAGACACTCGCCTGGCGTTCCGCGAGCGCTATGTCATTGGTTCGTATCCTGGCCGGGGAGGATTTACTGGGCGCAAATCCTTAACTGTAGCCTCTGTTTAACTCAACAGTAAAATGTGTACTTGGTTGTAACAACGATTCTTCGCGGCGGGGATCGTATTCCAGGGACCTGCCCGACACGCTACGCGTACTAGTGGCTCTACAAGAATGTAACAACTCTTGTATATATCTCAAAAAATGTTTTGTTGTTGTTACTGGCGGAGAACAAAAACCATGTGGACAAAGATTGTTTGTCTGACCAAAACCATAACAATAGGAATACACAAACAAATATAATTTGATAAAAACACCGATTTTTTGTATTACACAACACTTCAAAATTGATTAGTACATCTTTGGCAAGAGCCTTAACTCACACGAGGGTAAACTAATACATCCTGATGAGTTGAAATTATTTTGTTGTTTTAGCGTATGAGAAGTATATTATTATTATTATTAACATCTTTATTGACAAAATTAATTACAATTTTGCCTAATCTGAGGATTTTGATAGTCTTATTAAGTTGAGGATAATGGTGGTATTCACTGTCACGCAGGACAGAGGGTCATACATAAGACAATAGGTCTAAACTGTAGGCTGAAGCACATATATATCATGGTTACAATCAATGTTTTAATGTATGGATATGTGAAAACAACTTTCTATTGTGCACTGCCACACAAGGGCAGGGATGTGCACTGCCACACAAGGGCAGGGATGTGCACTGCCACACAAGGGCAGGGATGTACACTGCAACACAAGGGCAGGGATGTACACTGCCACACAAGGGCAGGGATGTGCACTGCCACACAAGGGCAGGGATGTACACTGCCACACAAGGGCAGGGATGTACACTGCCACACAAGGGCAGGGATGTACACTGCCACACAAGGGCAGGGATGTACACTGCCACACAAGGGCAGGGATGTGCACTGCCACACAAGGGCAGGGATGGGTTCATAAGTCAGGCAGCTTAGAATATAAATAAAAATTGTTCTCCATTCTTTAAAATGGACAAGCAAATTTTGGGTAAATTGTTAGGATGTCGTCCAGAACACCTGAGTCAATGACATAGTTACACAGTTGGTGGTACAAGAGGCCAGGAGGTCTGAAGTCCTTTACGGTTTCACATTCATCAGTATAGTGTTCTAGTCAATATATATAGTTCAACTCCATAGGTTATTTATGTCCAGGCACGTGTTTGTTGTCTTATTTTGATAATTCCACCGTTGCAGGCATATGTTTGCTGGCGTCTCATGATAATTCCACCGTTGCAGGCATATGTTTGCTGCCGTCTCATGATAATTCCACCGTTGCAGGCACCCTTGTAGGCATGTTTGCTGGTGTCTCATGATAATTCCACCGTTGCAGGCACCCTTGTAGGCATGTTTGCTGGCGTCTCATGATAATTCCACCGTTGCAGGCACCCTTGTAGGCATGTTTGCTGGCGTCTCATGATAATTCCACCGTTGCAGGCACCCTTGTAGGCATGTTTGCTGGCGTCTCATGATAATTCCACCGTTGCAGGCACCCTTGTAGGCATGTTTGCTGGCGTCTCATGATAATTCCACCGTTGCAGGCATATGTTTGCTGCCGTCTCATGATAATTCCACCGTTGCAGGCACCCTTGTAGGCATGTTTGCTGGCGTCTCATGATAATTCCACCGTTGCAGGCACATGGTACGCCAGACGGGGGCGGTGCTGACGAGTCAGGAGGCAGCGCTGGGACCGGCCAACATGGTGGTGGTGGCGGTGGGGCGCGACCACTACGACTACCTGCCCCTCACACTCCTCCGGGGCAAGATCCTCATCGACGTCTCCAACAACACCGAGCGACGCAAGGGGCCCCAGTTAGTATAGTTACCCCTCTCACTTTTGTTGGTTTTCTCTCATGGCTCTGCCACCGTATACATGATCGTGTGGACGTATATATGGACCTTGGACAGTATACATGGGCCTGCCACCGTATACATGATCGTGGGGACGTATATATGGGCCTGGGACCGTATACATGGACCTGGGACAGTATACATGGGCCTGGGACCGTATACGTGGGCCTGTGACTGTATACACGGGCCTGGGACCGTATACGTGGGCCTGTGACTGTATACACGGGCCTGGGACCGTATACGTGGGCCTGTGACTGTATACACGGGCCTGGGACCGTATACGTGGGCCTGTGACTGTATACACGGGCCTGGGACCGTATACACGGACCTGTGACTGTATACACGGACCTGTGACTGTATACATGGACCTGTGACTGTATACATGGACCTGTGACTGTATACACGGACCTGTGACTGTATACACGGACCTGTGACTGTATACATGGACCTGTGACTGTACACATGGACCTGTGACTGTATACACGGACCTGTGACTGTATACACGGACCTGTGACTGTACACACGGACCTGTGACTGTACACATGGACCTGTGACTGTATACATGGACCTGTGACTGTATACACGGACCTGTGACTGTATACACGGACCTGTGACTGTATACACGGACCTGTGACTGTATACACGGACCTGTGACTGTATACACGGACCTGTGACTGTATACACGGACCTGTGACTGTATACACGGACCTGTGACTGTATACACGGACCTGTGACTGTATACACGGACCTGTGACTGTATACACGGACCTGTGACTGTATACACGGACCTGTGACTGTATACACGGACCTGTGACTGTATACACGGACCTGTGACTGTATACACGGACCTGTGACTGTATACACGGACCTGTGACTGTATACACGGACCTGTGACTGTATACACGGACCTGTGACTGTATACACGGACCTGTGACTGTATACACGGACCTGTGACTGTATACACGGACCTGTGACTGTATACACAGACCTGTGACTGTATACACAGACCTGTGACTGTATACACGGACCTGTGACTGTATACATGGACCTGTGACTGTATACACGGACCTGTGACTGTATACACGGACCTGTGACTGTATACACAGACCTGTGACTGTATACATGATATATATAGTTACCATATGCATTTTTAGGTCACTATATCCTCTTGGTTAGGTCACTATATCCTCTTGGTTAGGTCACTATATCCTCTTGGTTAGGTCACTATATCCTCTTGGTTAGGTCACTATATCCTCTTGGTTAGGTCTCTCAACCTCGAGGCTGTAAAGTCATATTGAGTACTATTGTTCTACTGTGACAACTCTGAAGGTGTTCGGGTAAGATAAACAGTCTTTACTAATCATCGCAACTACTAAATACTCATAAATTCCATTTATTTAAAAATAATTCAAGTATCGAACATGTTTAGTGTATTTTGTATATGGTAATAGTTGAGCAGTGTGGTAATCCCCATTACACAAGAAAGTGGGAGGGGTTGGGGGTGCATTGACGCAGGTTCGAACCCCTTGTATGACTCCGGTAATTTCTCATCCATGCTGACCAGACCACACACTAGAAGTTGAAGGGACGACGACGTTTCGGTCCGTCCTGGACCATTCTCCAGTCGAGTGTGATCCATTGTGATTGTGATTGTGATCCATTGTGATTGTAATTTCTCATCCATGCTCTCTCTCCCTCTTGCAGCTACCGCAGTAACGCCGAGTACCTCCAGGGGCTGGTTCCTGAGGCTTGTGTGGTCAAGGGCTTCAACGTCCTCTCTGCCTACGCCCTGGAGAATGGCGGGATCCAGGGCAGCAAAGAGGCGAGTCTTCAATCTATTTCGCGACTAAAAAAAAAAAAAAACCCTGTTGGTAATATAGAATTACGGGCTCACCATAGCCCGTGCTACCTGGAACTTTTTGTTCTAGGCAGCGCATCTTAAACAACAACAAACAATATTTCGTGACGTTTGTCTCTTCCCACAACACTTTCGGGAAATCAGTTCGTTACATTCAGACTGTTGTGATTCTAATTTCGTATGTGTACACATGTTTACCCTTCCCCCCCCCCCTCCCCCTGAATGCCCCTGTTACCTAGCAGTAAATAGGTACCTGGGAGTTAGTCAGCTGTCACGGGCTGCTTCCTGGGGGTGGAGGCCTGGTCGAGGACCGGGCCGCGGGGATACTAAAGCCCCGAAATCATCTCAAGATAACCTCAAGATAACCCCCCTCCGCCTGTCTTCCACGTGTAATAGGACATGTAGCGACGATGGAGCACTGTGCAAGGTATGGATCGTTGTAGCCAGCGAGAGTCAGGGTTTTGTATTTGTTTACTAAAGCTGGAACATTATACACAAGTTACACGAGGACACCCCGGTATGGGGGTGACGGGGAGGACCTCCCTCAGCGCGGGAGGTCGCCTGAAATAGCTACACTACCTCACAACTACTACAACTACAGTTTAAACAGTCGCTACATGACTCCAGCATCAGTTGAACTAAATATTCCATTCTCAGAGGTTGTAGATCCCTATAATTGCACCAGAGATTGTACCCCTTATATATATATATATATATATATATATATATATATATATGTCGTACCTAGTAGCCAGAACGCACTTCTCAGCCTACTATTCAAGGCCCGATTTGCCTAATAAGCCAAGTTTTCATGAATTAATTGTTTTTCGACTACCTAACCTACCTAACCTAACCTAACCTAACTTTTTCGGCTACCTAACCTAACCTAACCTATAAAGATAGGTTAAGTTAGGTTAGGTAGGGTTGGTTAGGTTCGGTCATATACCTACGTTAATTTTAACTCCAATAAAAAAAATTTACCTCATACATAATAAAATGGGTAGCTTTATCATTTCATAAGAAAAAAATTAAAGAAAATATATTAATTCAGTAAAACTTGGCTTATTAGGCAAATCGGGCCTTGCATAGTAGGTTGAGAAGTGCGTTCTGGCTACTAGGTACGACATATATATATATATATATATATATATATATATATATATATATATATATATATATATATATATATATATATATATGTCGTACCTAGTAGCCAGAACGCACTTTTCGGCCTACTATGCAAGGCCCGATTTGCCTAATAAGCCAAGTTTTCATGAATTAATATATTTTCTCTATTTTTTTTCTTATGAAATGATAAAGCTGCCCATTTCATTATGTATGAGGTCAATTTTTTTTAATTGGAGTCAAAATTAACGTAGATATATGACCGAACCTAACCAACCCTACCTAACCTAACCTAACCTATCTTTATAGGTTAGGTTAGGATAGGTAGCCGAAAAAGTTAGGTTAGGTTAGGTTAGGTAGATTAGGTAGTCGAAAAACAATTAATTCATGAAAACTTGGCTTATTAGGCAAATCGGGCCTTGCATAGTAGGCTGAGAAGTGCATTCTGGCTACTAGGTACGACATATATGTATATATATATATATATATATATATATATATATATATATATATATATATATATATATATATATATATATATATATATATATATATATGCGAACAAGCCTGAATGGTCCCCAGGACTATATATATATATAATATCTCATATATATATATATATATATATATATATATATATATATATATATATATATATATATATATGACTGAAAACTCACACCCCAGAAGTGACTCGAACCCATACTCCCAGAAGCAACGCAACTGATAACTACAGGGCGCCTTAATCCGCTTGACCATCACGGCCGGACAAAAGGAAGTGATAGCCGAAGCTATTTGAACCACTTCCCCGCCGGCAACTCGGATGGTAATCTTGGGCATAGCATTTCACCAAATCACCTCATTCTTTGGGGCACACGTGAGAAACACAAATGCGAACAAGCCTGAATGGTCCCCAGGACTATATGCGACTGAAAACTCACACCCCAGAAGTGACTCGAACCCATACTCCCAGAAGCAACGCAACTGATAACTGATGCCCAAGATTACCATCCGAGTTGCCGGCGGGGAAGTGGTTCAAATAGCTTCGGCTATCACTTCCTTTTGTCCGGCCGTGATGGTCAAGCGGATTAAGGCGCCCTGTAGTTATCAGTTGCGTTGCTTCTGGGAGTATGGGTTCGAGTCACTTCTGGGGTGTGAGTTTTCAGTCGCATATAGTCCTGGGGACCATTCAGGCTTGTTCGCATATATATATATATATATATATATATATATATATATAAACACATCTACATTTAGTGATACACATCTACCTGGCAGTACAGTTGAGGGAGGCGGGGCGGCCACCTTCCCGGAGGCTCAGAAAGCTAACAAGTAGAGGGACGTAGAACATTGGTAGAGACAGGTTGGTGCCAGTGGGCTGAGACCCTGGGCACGCCTCGAGGAACTGTGCACTTAGACTCCTGATCGACAGATCAATCTTGTATATTGATTCCTGTAAGGAATTAATATACATGATTGTTTGATTGATGAAGATTAAGCCACCCAAGAGGTGGCACGGGCATGAATAGCCCGTAAAAATATACAGATTTGTTGTTGTTTCAGATTTAGCTACTCAGAACGAAGTGTCCATGTAGCACAGGCTAAGGTGAGCCCGTAAAAATATACAGGGTGTAAATTTGTCTTAAATACACATGTGAGAGAGGTGAACATGTCGTGGCTGAGTCGATTAAGGCGCATCTTTGAACATCCTGTACGTAGGTTCGAACCTCATCACGGTCCTTGTGGATTTGTTCGAGAGATGTGAAGTTGTGTGTAGAGGGAGGGAGGGGGGGAGGGTACTTGGAATCTACAACAACAACAATAAGAACCCTGTATATAATTTACGGGCTATTCATGCCCGTGCCACCTCTTGTGGAGGCTTGGTGTTCAACAACAACAATAATCTTATTTTAAGGTATTCAGGTAAGGTATTTATACGTTACCTGAAGATGAACAAATCCACAAGGGCCGTGACGAGGATTCGAACCTGCGTCCGGGAGCATCCCAGACACTTACCTGAAGATGTTCCAGAGTGGAACGAAACGTCGTAGAAAATATTCCCTTCATTAATCATTAAGAGTTTCTTGACCATAAATGTCAGTAACTTGATTCTTCTTCTTCTTAATCCGCCAGAGTAAGAAAATAGTTCCGCTACATATTTTGTTTAGAGACAAATCTCATTTTGCTATATTGATAACAAAGAATTAAAGCTATAATATTTATTTATTTATTTTTATTTATATATATACAAGAAGGTACATTGGGTTTGTGAGAATACATTGGATAGAACAGTATTTACATTCTTGTAAAGCCACTAGTACGCGCAGCGTTTCGGGCAGGTCCTTAATCTAGCAGATAATTTTAAGTAGGGAATTTCAATCAGAATTGATAAAGATACATTACAAGAGAAAAATGAGATGAGAGAGATAAGTAGGTATATTAAAGCACATTGTTATATTAAAGCTCTGATTGATTACATTGACAGCTTGATTAGTAATTTAAACAAGATTAATAGACACCATACAGCACCATAATATCATAATATCAGACACCATAATATCAGAGAGGTTAATGATGGCCACTTTTATGACAGGTATTTCTGGCCAGCGACTTCGTGGAGGCCAAGACCAAGGTGTCGGACATCGTGCGGATGATGGGCTTCCATCCTGTGGACTGGGGCAGTCTCCAGGCCTCCAGGGACATCGAGGATGTCCCCCTGCTCTTCATGCCATCCTGGAAGAGACCGGTTGCAGTTGTTTTTGGCGTCTTTCTCTTTCTCTGGATTCTTGCGCTTTTCTCGTAAGAAAGAGTGAAGCTGTGTTCGGTGATGAACTTAATATGACTGTCTGAACAGTCATATTAAGAACATTAATTGTCATATTGACAATTGATTGATTAATTGTCATATTGGAACAGTCAATTGTCATTAATATTAATTTTTATCGATTAAATCGATAAATAAATATCGATTTTATAAATTAAATCGATTGCTGTCATTAATATTAAATATGTTGTGTTAAAATGTCAATATTGTTTAGGTTCCAAATCTGCTACAACTGGGCTTCGGGCGACTGGCAAAAGGAATGGAAACACATAGCAATGATAAACTTCAACCGAGTTATTGCTATCACGGCGCTGTGGACCTTAGCCTTCTGCTACATCCCAGGTAAACTCTTCACCGTGCAGGCGACGAGTCACAATAACCTGGCTGAAATATGTTGACCAAACCACACACTAGAAGGTGAAGTGACGACGACGTTTCGGTCCGTCCTGGACCATTCTCAAGTCCATTGTCTCGACTTGAGAATGGTCCAGGACGGACCGAAACGTTCTCAAGTCGATTGTCTCGACTTGAGAATGGTCCAGGACGGACCGAAACGTCGTCGTCCCTTCACCGTCTAGTGTGTGGTCTGGTCAGTAAGTATAAACTATGTCTGAAGCCACAAGTGCGCTCAACGTCTCGGGCAATCATTCGTGGCGCGATATTATAAATGGATAACTAGGAGAAGAGAGTAATAGTGTGTTGTGGTCCTCAGGTCTGGTGGCGGCGTACATCCAGCTGTGGCGAGGGACCAAGTACAGCAGGTTCCCCAAGTGGCTCGACGACTGGCTCAAGATGAGGAAACAGCTCGGCCTCATCATGCTCGGACTCGCTGGAATGCATGTTAGTTTTCCCCATTCCTTCCCCTCCTCCAGTATTGTTGTAGATTCAGCTACTCGGAACAGTACGTCCCAAGTAGCACGGGCTATGGTGAGCCCGTAGTCCTGGGTTATAATATTCCACCTAGATGGTATAAGATTCAAACTCGGGTTTGGGAGAAATAAGGCCGTCGCTCTAGTCTCTAGATGAGGATGCTTGCAGGAAGGAAGGTGAGGATTGCTGCCATTTACCATAGTGGGGTTCCCAGGGAAGGTTTCAAGTCTCGGTTGGATATCAGGTACTTGTGAGATCCTTACTGTGGGCACCTAGGACCTGGGGGCTACACCTCAAACCTTTCTCAGTCCAAGTGAACTAAATGTGCATTAACAAAAAATAATGTGATTACCTAAGTGTAGTTACAGGATGAGAGCTACGCTCGTGGTGTCCCGTCTTCCCAGCACTCTTTGTCATATAACGCTTTGAAACTACTGACGGTCTTGGCCTCCACCACCTTCTCACCTAACTTGTTCCAACCGTCTACCACTCAGTTTGCGAAAGTGAATTTGCTTATATTTCTTCGGCATCTGTGTTTAGCTAGTTTAAATCTATGACCTCTTAAACTAGCTAAACACAGTTTAGTGCACGTTTAGTTTAAACATGTGCATGAGTATGTGTGTGTGTGTACTCGCATGTTTGTGCCTGCAGGATCGAGTATTGGCTCTTGGATCCCGCCTTTCTAGCCGCCGGTTGTTTAAAGTAGTGACTCCTGTCCTCCTTCTCTATCATGCCTAGTTTTAAAGTTATGAATAGTGTTTGCTTCCACAATGGGCTCCTTTAGTTCATTCCATTTCTCCACTACTCTCACGCTAAAAGAAAACTTCCTAACATCTCTGTGACTCATCTGAGTTTCCTGCTTCCACCCATGTCCCCTCGTTCTGTTGGTATTTCGTGTGAACATTTCGTCTATGTCCACTCTGTCAATCCCCCTGAGTATTTTGAATGCTGCTATCATATCTCCCCGCTCCCTTCTTTTTTTCTGACGTTGTTAGTTCAGTTCTTTCAATCGCTCTTCATATCTCATCCCATGCAACTCCAGGATGAGCCTCGTCGCAAATTGTTTAACCTTTTCCAGTTTCCTTATGTATTTCTTCAGGTAGGTACTCTATGATGGGGCTGCATACTCTAAGACTGGTCTCACGTAGTCATGTAAAGCGCCCTAAAAGCCTCCTCACTTAGGTTTCTGAATAATGTTCTAACTTTTGCCAGTGTAGAGTACGCTGCTGTCGTTATCCAATTTATATGCGCCTCAGGAGTTATATTAGGTGTTACGTCTACTCCCAGGTCTCTTTTACGAATCATCCCAGGTAGGCAGTTCCCCTTCATTGTGTAATGACACTTTGATCGCCTGTTACCTAGTCCCATTTCGATAACTTTACACTTTCTCATGTTGAACTCTAGTAGCCATTTCTCTGACCATCTCTGCAGCTTGTTCAGGTCCTCTTGGAGTATCCAACAATCATCATCTGTCACAACTCTTCTCATTAATTTCGCGTCATCCGCGAACATCGACATATAGGACTTGACTCATGTAAACATGGCAGTCACGTATATTTGAAATAAAATTGGCCCCAGCACCGATCCTTGAGGTACTCCACTCGTTACTGTTCGCCAGTCTGACTTCTCGCCCCCTGACTGTTACTCTCTGGTTACTCTCCTGCCTGTTAAGTAATTCTTTATCCATGCTACGGCTTTTCCGCGTACTCCCGCCTGCCTCTCAAGTTTGAATAGCAGTCTCCTGTGCGGTACTGTGTCAAAGTCTTTTTGGCAGTCGAGAAATATGCAGTCTGTCCATCCTTCTCTGTCCTGCCTTATTCTTGTTACTTTATCATAGAATTCCAGGTTTGTTAGGCATGATTTCTCTTCTCTGAACCCTTGTTGGTGTTTGTTTACAAACCTAATGTTCTCTAGGTGTGTAATCAGTCTTAACCTGATTATTCTTTCAAGTACTTTACAGGAGATACTGGTCTGTAGTTAAATGCCTTTTCCCTATCAGCTTTTTTTAAATTTGGTACCACATTTGCCAGCAACTGGGCAACTCTCCCTTCGTAAGTGACTCATTATAGATCCTTGCCAGAGTCACACTGAGGGTCTGTGCTGCCTTTTTTAGTATCCACGGTGATACATTGTCTGATCCAACCGCTTTAGTTGCATCCAGTGTTGTCAGCAGTTTCATGACCTCCTCTGCTGTCACCTCTATATCTGATAGTCTTTCATCTTGGGTCGTCATCTCTTCTAATAATGGGAGCTGCTCAAGCTCGGTTGTGAACACTCCATGGAAACTGGCATTCAATACCTCACTGTACTTGTCGCTTTCTGTATATGCCCCCTCTGTTTTCCTTAGTCTTGTCACTTGGTCGTTCACCGACATTTTCCTACTTATATGACTGTGTAGTAATTTTGGTTGCTTTTTCGCTTTTATTGCAATATCGTTTTCATAATTCCTTTCTGATACTCTACTTATATTAATGTATTCATTCCTAGCCCTGTTGCATCTAATGTTATTGTCCTCTGTCCTCCGTACTTTCTCCACTCCCTTCTGCTTCTTATTGTTGCTTCCTGAAAAAAAGGGGAACCCATGGTCTGTTAAACCATGGGTTTTTATATTCCCTCCTACTTCTTTTACCGTTGGTATAAAACTCTCTTCGGCTTCCTGGCATTTCCACTTAAGTCCATCATATCTTGCACCGTTTTCCTCTTAGTTCTTCTTCCCACAGCACTTCTTCCAGATATAGCAGTCTCCGTGGTGTTGTGGTAAGACACTCGCCTGGCGTTCCGCGAGCGCTATGTCATGGGTTCGTATCCTGGCCGGGGAGGATTTACTGGGCGCAATTCCTTAACTGTAGCCTCTGTTTAACGCAACAGTAAAATGTGTACTTGGATGAAAAAACGATTCTTCGCGGCAGGGGATCGTATTCCAGGGACCATAGGATTAAGGACTTGCCCGAAACGCTACGCGTACTAGTGGCTGTACAAGAATGTAACAACTCTTGTATATATCTCAAAAAAAAAAAAAAAATATTCTCTTATCCTCCTATAGTCTCCTATCCTACTCTCCTTCCCCCAGACCTTTTGTCCCATGGTCACAATTTTAAGCTCGATCATGTAGTCAATGACAAAGACACAATGGACACTGGCTCCTAGTGGTATTTCATGTTCCATATCCGTAATGTCTCCCTCATTCTGGGTGAAAATCACTAAGAACTAACCCCGTTCTTTTATTTCCTCTTATTTATTGGATACTCCATCAGCATTGGTGTACTGAACCTTGACACTCTTCCTGGAAACTCTGTTACCAGGTTCATATAGATCATCTGCCTAGTTGTCTCCCTCGGTGTGTGCTGCAGGTGAGAGATGGATGTAGTCCCATGTCCAATAAGTGGCTGTGAGGCGAGAAGTGTTTGGGAATGTGGAGGGGGGGGGGTGACAGGCTGAGGGGGTCTGGGAGTCAGGGCACCGGGGGGCTAATGGGGTCTGGGCAATTAGGGAGGTCTGGGGGGGGGCTAATGGGGTCTGGGCAATTAGGGAGGTCTGGGGGGGGCTAATGGGGTCTGGGCAATTAGGGAGGTCTGGGGGGGCTAATGGGGTCTGGGCAATTAGGTAGGTCTGGGGGGGCTAATGGGGTCTGGGCAATTAGGTAGGTCTGGGGGGGGCTAATGGAATCTGGGCAATTAGGCAGGTCTGGGGGGGGCTAATGGGGTCTGGGCAATTAGGGAGGTCTGGGGGGGGCTAATGGGGTCTGGGCAATTAGGGAGGTCTGGGGGGGGGCTAATGGGGTCTGGGCAATTAGGGAGGTCTGGGGGGGGCTAATGGGGTCTGGGCAATTAGGTAGGTCTGGGGGGGGGGGCTAATGGGGTCTGGGCAATTAGGTAGGTCTGGGGGGGGCTAATGGGGTCTGGGCAATTAGGCAGGTCTGGGGGGGGGCTAATGGGGTCTGGGCAATTAGGGAGGTCTGGGGGGGGCTAATGGGGTCTGGGCAATTAGGGAGGTCTGGGGGGGGCTAATGGGGTCTGGGCAATTAGGGAGGTCTGGGGGGGGCAGATGGGGTCTGGGCAGCTAGGGGTGTCTGAAGGGCATAGGGCATAGTGACTCTGAGAGATAGTGATGTTGGAAGTCAAAAAAAGGGTATGCTAGGGGCAGGTATGGGTTTTGGGTGTATGTGTGTGTATACTCATCTAGTTGTACTTGCGGGGGTTGAGCTGTGGCTATTTGGTCCCGCCTCTCAGCTGTCAATCAACTGGTGTACAGGTTCCTGAGCCTACTGGGCTCTATCATATCTACACTATAAACTGTGTATGGAGTCAGCCTCCACCACATCACTGTCTGATGCATTCCACTTGTTAACTACTCCCACACTGAAAAAGTTCTTTCTAACGTCTCTGTGGCTCATGTGGGTACTCAGTCTCCACCTGTGTCCCCTTGTTCGTGTCCTACCCGTGTTAAACAGTTTATCCTTATCAACCCTGTCAATTTCTATTAGAATTTTGTAGGTAGTGATCATGTCTTCCCGAGCTCTCCTTTCTTCCAGCGACGTGAGGTGTACCTCACGTCGCTGAAGGTCGGCGAATTTCATGAAGGTCGGCATTCAATCCCCGACCGTCGTAGTGGTTGGGCACCATTCCTCCCCGTCCCATCCAAAATTCTTATCCTGTCCCCTTCCAAAGGTTATATAGTCGTAAGGACTTAGCGCTTTCTCTTGATAGTTCTCTTCCTTGAGTACATTAACTCTTTTTCGACCAGATACTCAAACACCAGTACACTGTGGTCGCTCATTCCTACTGGGGCCTCGAAACCGATTTCCCTCATGTCGGAGTCGTTCAGGGTGAATACTAGGTCGAGTCTCGCTGGTTCATCATTTTCTCTCATTCTCGTTGATTCCCTGACATGCTGGCTTAAGAAGTTTCTTGTCGACACCTCCAATACTTTAGCTATCTATGTGTCCTATCCTCCATGCGATTCCTTGTTCTCCCAGTCTATCCTTCCGTGGTTGGTGTCTCCCATGATGAGCAGATGGGAATGATTTCTACAGGCAGCAGCGGCTGCCCTCTCAATTATAGTGTTATCTGTGTGTGTGTGTGTACATGTGTGTGCATGCATCTGTACTCGCCTATTTATTCCTGCTGGGTTGGCTCCTGGATCCCTTCTTTTTAACTACCGGTTGTCTAAAGCATTGGCTCCTGGCTTATTTCCTTATCATATCTACTTTTCAAATTATAGCTGGAGTTTGCCTCCAATATACTGTGGAGGCATGTCACTACTCTTACACCAAATGAAAACTTCCTAGCATATCTATACTCATCTGAGTCTCAAGCTTCCACACATGCTCCCCCCCCTTGTTCTATTGATATTCATTGTGAGCATTTCCTTTTTCCACTGCCAATCCCCTTAAGTATTTTATACATCTATCATGTCTACACACACGCACGCACGCACGCACACACGCACACGCACACACTTTTTCTAGTGTTGTCAGGTTTAGTTCCTACAGTCTCACTTCATATGCCATCCCTCACAATTGAATGACGTGCCTCGCACAAACCTCTTAATTTTTCTAGTTTCCTTACGTTTTTCTTTAGGTGGGAGCCCTATGATGGGGCGGCATACTCTGGTGGTGTATAGTGATCTAAAAGCCTCCTTATCAAGATTCCTGAATGATGTTATAACTTTTGCTAATGTAGAGTACGCGGCTGACGTTATCCTATACTGTTTATATATATATGAGCTCCAGAGTTAGGTTCACTTCCAGGTCTTTTTCTTGAGTCGTTACAGGGAGATAGTTTTCCTTCATACTGTCCCTTTGGTCTCCTGTCACATGTTCCCTTTTCCATAACTTAATTTACACTTGCTTGTATTGAACTCTGGTAGCCATTTCCCTGACCATCTCTGCAACTTGTTGAAGTCCTCTTGGAGAATCCTACAATCCTCATCTGTCACAACTCGTCTCATTAATTTTGCATTATTTGCAGACACTGAATGCCATGTAAGACTCGACACCTGTAGATAGGTCAGTTTAAGTATGAGAAATTGAATTCATCCCATCACTGATCCTTGAGGCACTGCACTTGAAATTGTTCGTCAGTCCTCATTTTAGGACTGTACCTCGCCTCTCACTGTCACTCGCTGGCTCCTGCCTGTTAGGTAATTCCTTTCCCTTGTTATGACTTTTCTGCTGATTCCCATCTGCTTCTGAAGTTTGTATAGTAATCTCCTGTGCGTTACTGTATCAAAGGCTTTTTGGTAGTCCAGAAATATGTAACCTTCCCTCTCCCACGGAAGGCCCAGCCTTCCCTGTCCTGCCTTATTCTTGTTACTTTATTATAATGTGTGAGTGGATATAGATTAGTGTGAATATACACAGAGAAGTGTATAGATTAGATCTAGTATAGAGTATACGTAATCTTGTGTGTGTGTGAATGATAAATTTAATCATATTCTTTTTATTTACCAGGCTTGTATTTCGGTGGCATTTCTGACGCCCCAAACGACAGAATGGGTGTACGAGGAACCCACCAAGATAATGGCACAAGTGGTCGTCGATGCCAACACCACTACGACTCAGTCTGTGACACTCTACAACTTTGAATTCAACTGGAGAGGAGAATTGTTTCTTACAATGGGTGAGAACTTTGAATGATAACACATTTGTTCAACTGTATGTGCTCTCTCTCTCTCTCTCTCTCTCTCTCTCTCTCTCTCTCTCTCTCTCTCTCTCTCTCTCTCTCTCTCTCTCTCTCTCTCTCTCTCTCTCTCTCTCTTCTCTCTCTCTCTTTCTCTCTCTCTCTCCTCTCTCTCTCTCTCTCTCTCTCTCTCTCTCTCTCTCTCTCTCTCTCTCTCTCTCTCTCTCTCTCTCTCATTATATACATATATATACTTATGGGTATTGTTTCCAGGATTTGCTGTCTTCTTTGGTCAGTGGTGGATGCCAGGATTTTTATATTATCTACCTACATGTTCCTAGTGTTGTGTTGTGTACACACTGTATGTGGTTTCTAGGGGCACCAGCTTGTAGATGGCAGGTCTGTCTTCTCAAAAGCTTTGTGGTGGTCAATATAAGTAGATCAAAGGTAACATCCTCCAATGGGGCACGTAAATTTTTATACCAAGTTAGCTTTTTTGGAGCAATGCAAATTTGCCGAATGGTATTGGCTACTGGGGCTTGTCATGTTCACAGAAAATGGTACCATCCGTTTTCTATGTGTGGCGGAGCAGACGCCAGAGAGAGAAGGTAAACAAGAGCGTACAGGACGCCCGCCAAGCTTGGTAGCTACTAGTCATGTAATCATATTAAGTATTAAAGTCAGTAACCAAGTCATGACTTTACATCAACCCTACAACCAAGACTTCCTCAGTAACACACAAACACCACAGGGCTGTTCTTAAGTATTGATTCTTTGATAGTCTCCTTGAGACTATCAAGGAATGAGAGAAAAACTGCAAAACACCACCTGGAGGACACTTATAAGTGATTATGGCATGGAAGCATCGCGGGAGATCTTGAAGGTCATCACTGAACGCTTTCAAAAATACGTGCCAAGAAAAGAATTAAAGATAACTAGATGGATGACACAAGTGGTAAAGAGAGCATTGATAACTAAGCGGCACCTCTGGGGAAGATGTAAGTCCACGATGAACATCATTGATTATGAGATACTGTATATAAAAGGGGCACTAAACTCCGGGGAGCCGGTCGGCTGAGCGGACAGCACGCTGGACTTGTGATCCTGTGGTCCTGGGTTCGATCCCAGGCGCCGGCGAGAAACAATGGGCAGAGTTCCTTTCACCCTATGCCCCTGTTACCTAGCAGTAAAATAGGTACCTGGGTGTTAGTCAGCTGTCACGGGCTGCTTCCTGGGGGTGGAGGCCTGGCCGAGGACCGGGCCGCGGGGACACTAAAGCCCCGAAATCATCTCAAGATAACCTCAAGAAACTGAGCCACCCAGGAAATCAGATCAGTCAAAAGAAACTTCAAAATAAAACTTTCACAAAATAAAAAGACCCAAAGTCGTCATATACCTATATGACGTCATATACCTATATGACGTCATATACCTATATGACGTCATATACCTATATGACGTCATATACCTATATGACGTCATATATCTATATGACGTCATATACCTATATGACGTCATATACCTATATGACGTCATATACCTATATGACGTCATATACCTATATGACGTTATATACCTATATGACGTCATATACCTATATGACGTCATATACCTATATGACGTCATATACCTATATGACGTCATATACCTATATGAGAAGTAAAACCAAAAACAGAGGACTTGGTACGACCCTTAAAAGATGAGACTAACCAAGTTATAATGGATGATAAAGGGGCAACAAACACTCTAAATAAATACTTTACAACAGTGTTCACACTAGAAAGATTAGATGATATCATATGCAGGCGATGAGTCACAATAACGTGGCTAAAGTATGTTGACCAGACCACACACTAGAAGGTGAAGGGACGACGACGTTTCGGTCCGTCCTGGACCATTCTCAAGTCGATTGTGAGAGTGGTCCAGGACGGACCGAAACGTCGTCGTCCCTTCACCTTCTAGTGTGTGGTCTGGTCAACAAAGATGGTATCATATCACCCACACAAATGTTTGAAGGAGGTGAAGAGAACGAATTAAGGAATATACCCATAATATGCGACATAATCAGGGAGAGCATCGACAACCTAAGACTCAAAAGCCCCAGGTGTGGATGGAATTCAATTCGAAGTCATAAAGGAACTTGAATAGGAACTATGCCTACCACTCAAACCCTTTCAGAAATCTCTGGACCAAGGAATAGGCCTCCTAGATTGGATGGAGGACTAGTCCTACTAATTAACATAAGAACAAAGGCAACTGCAGAAGGCCTATTGGCCCATACGAGGCAGCTCCTATCTATAACCATCCAATCCCACTCGTAAACATGTCCAACCCGCGCTTGAAACAATCGAGGGACCCCCACCTCCATCACCACGCTACGCGGTAATTGGTTCCACGAATCAACAACCGGTCGGTCGGCCGAGCGGACAGCACGCTGGACTTGTGATCCTGTGGTCCTGGGTTCGATCCCAGGCGCCGGCGAGAAACAATGGGCAGAGTTTCTTTCACCCTATGCCCCTGTTACCTAGCAGTAAAATAGGTACCTGGATGTTAGTCAGCTGTCACGAGCTGCTTCCTGGGGGTGGAGGCCTGGTTGAGGACCGGACCGCGGGACATTAAAGCCCCGAAATCATCTCAAGATAACCTCAAAATAACCCTATTACCACCCTTATTTATCACCCTTATTTTTAAAAAAGGCAGAAAGAGCTGAGAAAACTACCATCCGACCAGCCTGACATCACACACCTGCAAGCTCACGGAGAGCATCCTAAGGGAGGGCATCATTCTCCATCCCACACTGAACAATCTCGTAAAGTCGACATAACATGGGTTTGTTAAACACAGAAACCTTGCCTAACAAACCTGCTCACATTTTGCTATAAAGCCTTTGATAAGGTACCGCATGAAAGACTGGCAAAGAAATTACAGGCACATGGAATAAATGGTTGAGTACAAGAATGGATAAAACAATGGTTAAAGTAAAGAAAACAAAGGGATGTGTTAAATGGGAATGAATCAGATTGGAGAAATGTGGTAAGTGGGGTACCACAGGGGTCCATCTTGGGGGCTAACTTTTTTTGTCATGACATAGAGAAAAATAAGAAATCACACCAACGAGATACATATCAATGTGAATCACCAGGAGCTCTGAGGTGACTCGAACAAGCAACCAACGAACTGCCAGCCACAACCCGGCAGTCCCCATGGCACAGTGGTAAAGCACTCGACCGGCGCTTCACGAGCACTTTGGCCCTGGGTTCGTCTCCTGGCTGGGGAAGATTGACTGGGTGCCGATCCTTAACTATAGCCTCTGTTCACCCAGCAGTGAATGGGTACCTGGTTGTTAAACGATTTGGCAGGTCGTTTTCCGGGGAAAATTAGCATTAAGGACCTGCCTGAAACTCTATGCATGCAAGTGGCTGTACAAGAATGTAACAACCTTGTATATAATAAACTAAACTACCACTGTACCACCCTGACCTAGTATGAGTTGTACAGTCTGGGATCCTATTGAATCAAGAGGAAGTCTGGAGGCCTCTCCTGAAACCATCTTAAGGTGTATAACTTGTATCAGGTAATACAGATGGATAATAGGTATCCCTTCTTTCCCCACACACACTCTTGTATAACACACACCTTGTATAACACACACTCTTGTATAACACACACCTTGTATAACACACACCTTGTATAACACACACCTTGTATAACACACACCTTGTATAACACACACTCTTGTATAACACACACCTTGTATAACACACACCTTGTATAACACACACTCTTGTATAACACACACCTTGTATAACACACACCTTGTATAACACACACCTTGTATAACACACACCTTGTATAACACACACTCTTGTATAACACACACCTTGTATAACACACACCTTGTATAACACACACCTTGTATAACACACACTCTTGTATAACACACACCTTGTATAACACACACCTTGTATAACACACACTCTTGTATAACACACACTCTTGTATAACACACACTCTTGTATAACACACACCTTGTATAACACACACTCTTGTATAACACACACTCTTGTATAATACACACCTTGTATAACACACACTCTTGTATAACACACACTCTTGTATAATACACACTGTATAACACACACTTGTATAATACACACTCTTGTATAACTCTTGTATAACACACACTCTTGTATAACACACACTCTTGTATAACACACACTCTTGTATAACACACACTCTTGTATAATACACACCTTGTATAACACACACTCTTGTATAACACACACTCTTGTATAATACACACCTTGTATAACACACACTCTTGTATAACACACACTCTTGTATAATACACACTCTTGTATAACACACACTCTTGTATAACACACACTCTTGTATAATACACACCTTGTATAACACACACTCTTGTATAACACACACTCTTGTATAACACACACTCTTGTATAACACACACCTTGTATAACACACACTCTTGTATAACACACACTCTTGTATAACACACACTCTTGTATAACACACACTCTTGTATAACACACACTCTTGTATAACACACACTCTTGTATAACACACACTCTTGTATAACACACACTCTTGTATAACACACACTCTTGTATAACACACACTCTTGTATAACACACACTCTTGTATAACACACACTCTTGTATAACACACACCTTGTATAACACACACCTTGTATAACACACACTCTTGTATAACACACACTCTTGTATAACACACACTCTTGTATAACACACACTCTTGTATAACACACACCTTGTATAACACACACTCTTGTATAACACACACTCTTGTATAACACACACTCTTGTATAACACACACCTTGTATAACACACACCTTGTATAACACACACCTTGTATAACTTGTATAACACACACTCTTGTATAACACACACTCTTGTATAACACACACCTTGTATAACACACACCTTGTATAACACACACCTTGTATAACACACACCTT